CACGACGTGAGTGCACTTACATACATGCAGGCAATACACTCATATACATAAAGTAAATATAATAATAAAAAATAAAGGTGGAGAGTGATGAAAGCACCTGACATCGACTTCTAGCATTCACATATATGCATGTGTACACACCAACGCACACATGCATGTGACTCCTACAAACGTACATATACAACTGAAATACACTCAGTGTAAGCTTCCTCCAAGTTCCTTAGTAATAAATGGAGATAATATATCAAGGTTCTCAGGCCACTGGGGGATACCCTGAGGCTGTAGACACCAAGCGGGGAGCTTGTGATGCTGTTGAGAACCTATGTTTGCAACATGACTAAAAAGTCCTAACATGAAAGGCTATCTTTAAGGACACTCTGTGACTTAAACTAGCTAAGATCACGAAAGTGACGTCAGTATGACAGTCAGGAAAAAGATTACTCCTCACTCACATTCAAACAAACCAAATACATACTCAAGAAAACTGGTGCCAAATCAACAAAAGAATAGCCTAGAAACATTTATGCATCAAGGGCACTAGCAAGAGAATGAAAAGCCAACACACAGAGGGGAAAACATGTGAGTCAAGCATCCAGTGAGGGATTTGTACCTCAGGAATAAAAATAACTCCAACCCAACGACAAGAAAAAAATGAACGGTCAGTGCACGATGGCTCAGCAGGTACAGAAGCCTGCTGCCAAGCCAGAAACCCGTGTTCAACGCCAGAATTCTCCTGGAAAAATGAGAGAAGTGACTCCCATGACCTGTCCTTCGATCTCCACATGCATGCTGGGGGATTTGTATGCACACACACATGTGCAAGGGCACACACATGTGCATAATAAAAATGAAAATGAATAATCCAATTTAAAAACGGGACATTACTTCATTAGCCATTTCATGAAAGAGCTACTGGATTTCTTTGTGTTTTGTTTATGTTGGATATCTTATTTAAACCAAGAAAAAAATACACATGTTTGGGTGGAGATGTGGAGAAACTGGAATACTTGTATGCTCCTGGAAGAATATAAAATAATACAGGTGGAGCAGTAAGCCAGTTTCTCAAATAACTAACACAGTGGCCATATGATTTGGAAATTCTGGGATTCTACCTTAACAGACACAAATCAGGGACTGAAACAGATAGATTTACACACTCATAGCACATTGTTTATAAAGCCAAAAGCTGAAAGCAACCCACATTTCCATCAACAGAAAAATGGATAAGCAAAACACAGGACATACATATAATGGACTATTATTCTGCTTCAAAAAGAAATTCCCACACATGCCACACTTTGCTGACCCCAGAGGACACTCTGCTAGGGAAGGTAATCCAGTCCAAACAAAACAACAACAACAAATACCTTAGTCATATTCAAAGACAAGGGAGAATAGTGATTTCCAGAAGCTGGATAGGTGAATATGGAGAGATTCCTTTGATACCTACAGGATTCCACTGGGGAAAATGAAAAGCCATTCTACAGTTGGATTATGGACAGAGTTGCATAACATACTTGATATCATGGATTATATACTTAAAATGGTTAAAAGTGTGACATCTGTGGTGTGCATAGTTTAACACTGCATATACACAAGCACATGAGAAAAAATGCACTCCTCCACTCAGCTCTCAATGTACTGACGTATCTGCAATAAAATGAAGCCATTTACTCTGTTCTTGCTATAAATTCAAATGAATGGATTTACATTAGCTTGAACAAAATAACAGCAATTTCTGAAAATCAAGATTCCAATTTACTTACCTACTTTGGACTTCAATACAATCATTTCTTAGGACACGGAAAATGTTACCCACAACCATTGCCAGCATGACTGAGACAA